AGTAGGGGCGGATGTAATTTTTTACATCCGCGCTATCGCGGTAGTACCGCATCCCTTGCGCGGTAGTACCGTGCGCGGCCTAGCTCAGCTGCCAGGCAGTAGTACCGCTCCTCTGCGGTAGTACTGTGTCGGATTTTTGCTACGTCTGTTTTCCAGCGGAAGTAGGCACGGATGTTCTGTTATCCACGCTCTTCCCAGGCTTGGGGTTCCCTGCCTTGCGGTAGTACCGCAAGGGGGAGCGGTAGTACCGCGTCTACGGAAGTACCGTCCTCAGCCCATGTGCTTAAGGTCTACCCTAGCTATTGTTGCTGCTGCGGTAGTACCGCGTGGCCTCGTGGTAGTACCGCTCTTCTGGAGCGGTAGTACCGCTGGTCGCGGGCTGGTAGGTGGATAACGGTTGGTTTTTCTTCCTTAGCTATATAAGGGGTGTCTTCTTCCTCGTGTTGACTACCTCTTCCAACCCTAAGCTCCATTGTTGCTCTAAGCTCCATTTTCGCCTGATCTCACTCCCTAGCCAATCAAACTTGTTGATTTGCTCAGGAGTGGTTGAGAAGGCCCCGATCTACACTTCCACCAAGAGAAATTTGATTCCTCCCACTAATCCCTTGCGGATCTTGTTACTCTTGGGTGTTTGAGCACCCTAGACGGTTGAGGTCACCGCGGAGCCATAGTCCATTGAGGTGAAGCTTCGTGGTGTCGTTGGGAGCCTCCAATTGAGTTGTGGAGATTGCCCCAGCCTTGTTTGTAAAGGTTCGGTCGCCGCCTCCAAGGGCACCAATAGTGGAATCACGACATCTCGCATTGTCTGAGGGCGTGAGGAGAATACGGTGGCCCTAGTGGCTTCTTGGGGAGCATTGTGCCTCCAAACCGCTCCAACGGAGACGTACTTCCCCTCAAAAGGAAGGAACTTCGGTAACACATCCTCGTCTCCACCGGCTCCACTCCTGGTTATCTTGTGCCTTTACTTGTGCAAGCTTATTTGTGATATATCTCTTGCTTGATTGTGTTCCTATCTTTGTTGCATCATATAGGTTGCTCACCTAGTTGCATATCTAGACAATCTACTTTGATGCAAAGTTTAAATTGTTAAAGAAAAGCTAAAAATTGTTAGTTGCCTATTCACCCCCCCCCCCTCTAGTCAACCATATCGATCCTTTCAACTGGCATGCCTTAAAGCATGTTTTGTGAAAAACAAGAAAAGCAATCTTTATAACTACTTAGTTACATAGTAGCATTTGGTAACCCCTAAGTCACTACACATCAAAAGTACATGTGATAGTCTCACATCTAGGGATGTAGCATATACATTGTAAATAGACAACTAAAAGCATTCCCACTATGTGCCAAGTTGGGTTTGTCCAACCCCATGTTCATAGTATGTGTTCACACTATTGGTTCTACATCTTCATTTCAATGACCTATGAAACGTGGTCATCAACCAATTCACGTGCTAGTCTAGTATTCTTATGTGTCCACGTGTGAACTCTAACTAGGGACTAGTTTGGAATAATCATTAAAGCACATAGTTTTACAAACAATTCACATACTTATCAATCAACACAAATTATATTATTCAAGTAAAATTCAACAATTCATGGACACAATGAAATATAATCATCTATATGACTACCTCTAAGGGATATTTCCAACACATGTGTATGTCATTATCTCAATAATTTTGGCTCCACCAGCTCCATACATTGAGTGACACATGGTGCCAAGTGAGGTTGTGGGTGGGCCCTTCACGCCCTCACTTTCATAACAACTTAGTGTGTGTGCCAAAAGAATTTATCTCCAAGTGAGATGGGGAAGAGATTGTCAACTGCACCACAAGTTCTCCTTCACCTAAGAAAGTGTGCAATATTTTCGTCATTGTCTAACAACAATAGGGAATTTTCTTATTGACGTAGAAATCTAGGAGTTTTGCACATCACCATTAAGCAGGCGAACTAGGATACGATAGAAGAATGCGTTGGTGCGGAGGTTCCCTCTCAACACGACATTTTAGGCATATTGGTAGTATGATATATGGGATTTTGCGTATGACGTTAGAAGGAAATTGGTACATCATTGGCCGTTCTTTCTCCCTTTGAGCTGATAATTCATTTTGTTTGACGAAAATGATGTGAAAGCTCCAAGATACAATTTTATATATGATTAATTGGAGATGTCTTGGCATATGATACACATAAGCAATACACCAATGTTATGGCATGGCATACAACACCTAAAAGTAGGTAGTATGTCTTTTCCTTTGTAATTCTAGCCTCGCCAGCGCCAATGTGAAACTATGGGTGGCTTCTTCACGCCCTTACTTCCAAAACAAGTAAATATGTGTGCAGAAATAAAATATTTATCACACACACACACACACACATAAGAGAGAGAGATATTGTCAATTGCCCCACAAGTTTTGTTTCATCTAAGAAAGCATGCAATATTTTCCTCCCTTGTCCACTAGCAAAAGAGAATTTTCCTGCTAACATGGAAAGTTGTGAGGTTCACACATCACCATTTTGCAGACAAGCTAAGATACGATGGAAGAATAAGTCGGCGCGTAGGTCGCCTCTCATCCGCGAGGTATGAGGCATATTGTAGTATGCCATATGAAATTCTGCGTATGACAAAAGTTTGTTAGGAGGAAATTGGTATAGCGTTGCCTTGGCTGGTTGCTCTTTCTCCTTTTATGTTGTTGGTTGTTCTTTTATGTTTTAAGTAAATCATGTGAATTAATATGTAATTGATTGAAGATGCCCTAATGAAATGATATGCGTAAGCAATACATTGATGTTAGGGCATGGCACCTAATAATTGTACTAGTATGAAGCATACACTTGAATAACATAACCGCATGGAACATGTGGTTAGCAAACACTAGAATAACATGCCCGCAGAAAAAACTTGAATAACATACTGCGGAAACCATCTTTAAATGCTATGGAAAAAAATCAAAAAAGTGCTAAGAAAATTACAGGAAAAAGATGGATAGAAATGTCTCCAAGGGTAAATTTGCTGCACGATAAGTTGCATAAATGTGTAAGAGGTTTAGTATGAAATATAATTCATTTTACAATTTTTGCACGACTTGCTAATGGTCACTTTTTACATTTATTATGAAATAATGCATTTTACATATTATCTTTTGCATGGCTTGCAGTAGTTACGCCTTTTTTATCAAAAAAAAATCAACAAAAATATTTGTACACCGGTTCTCTACGTGTATAATCCTTTCCACGGCTTTACAACATGTAATCCTAACAAGTACTGTACCTTAGCCGAATTGGTTATCGGTGATGCTCACAGGACAGCGATGGTAGCACACCACAACTACAGTGAAACACACCTACCACAGGGATACACATGTTACGCAAGGACCGACGTGTCGACCCGACGCGGCCACTCCGGCTTACCACCCCGTACATATTTCCAGCGTCTCGCCCTCCGGCGACTCGGCGGATAGCGGCGCCAGACCACGGCGGACGGCGACGGCGCCCGGGGCTCGACGTGGCCCGGCCCGCCCCGCGTGCTCCCTTGTGGCGCGTAGGCATCGGAGACCACGACCGTGCATGGCCCGTAGTAGCCAGCTACCAGGTCCCTCCCGGAGCCAACCTGCGGCCGCCTGTCGATTCGGCGCTGCGCTACGCGCCGCCGTGAATTGACCGCAGACAGTGACCCTAGTGCAGCCCGGTCTGCCTCCCCGCTCTGGCTCCTAGCTGCGCGCGAGCCTGTGTGTGGGCTGCCCCTCGGCTCCTCGCCGGTCCACAGGTTCCCGGCGCCGTCGCTGTTGGTGTCACTTGTGCGTGCCGGAGGGTCGGCAAAACGGTGTGAATTTTTTGTAGCTCGGGAGAGGTTGCGGGTTGCAGTGGATATGCACGGTGGTTGGGGACAATCCGTGGGCGTGCCAGCCTACAGCGACTGATCGTGGTTGAAGACAAGCGGGTTTACTGTGCGTGCGGGTGGGTCTCGACAGGTAATCCGGCTGGATCGCTCTTCAGATAAAGCTCACCAAGTTTTAAAAAAAAAATGGATAAAGCTCGCCGAGTTTAACTCTTGCACGCCTTCTCTCCATGCCTCCCGGTTCTTTTAGAAATACAGTACACAAACAAATGCATACGCTCATTCTTATGAACACACATACGCATACTCTATCTTCATAAGCACACCCAAAAAATTAAGCCAGCAAGTTTTAATAAAATTAATAAAGTATGAACACACGCACGCATACTCTATTCCTATGAGCACCTCCAAAAAATTAAGCCGGCGATCCAGCGAGTTTTAAGATTAATGAAGTACTCCCTTCCTAAATAAATATAAAAGCGTTTAGATCACTACTTTAGTAATCTAAACGCTCTTATATTTCTTTACAAGGGAGTACTCACATGCGCCTCTGTCGACAGGAACGTCGCCTCCGGTGGTTTCTCTTCTTCCTTTTCAATTCTCGGATGCAAAGTAGTCATCTCCTTTTTCAGGAAAAATCTTTCAATTGCGAGAATTCGACTTTTGAATGCTTCACCTTGCAAACTTCACCTTTTACATACAAGGGACTCCAGATAACTTGCTTTTGCCGAATATCTGCTCAAGACTGCCCCTGCTAAATTAACGTAAAGAAACTCCAATGTTGCTCACTCAATCCTTTTTATTTCTAGAATTCTGTACAACTGTCCTCGCCACAAACTCCCGACCATATATTCTGAAACATACTTTGGATGGCATTGTGTTTGTACATATGTGCTTTCATTTGTCATCAAAAGGGCAATTGGGTAATACAACAGTTTACAGAATGACTCTAGCACCACACCTCATCCGCCACCTCGTCCCTTGGTCCTTACCCGCTTTACTGGAAATTTATCTACAGGAGAGAACATATCAAGGCACCTAAAGGGCATAGTAAACTAAAAACTTCAGTCATAATCCTATGCAGAGATTCTCGAGACCAAAACCCCGGGAACGCTTCGTTTTCAGTACTGATCAAGTGATAATACTGTTACATCAAACTTGGCTCAGGGCATATGCGATAGTGTCTGATTGCCAGCGTCGAGGATGATCTCATCATGTGCAGGTGTTATGCTGCACAAATGTTTTCAAGTTAGCCAAGCTCATGCTCAAGACATCAAATTCAAATTGACGATGCGATGCATGCTTACCTCAGATAGCTCAAAGCTGACATTCTGTACAGCAGTGTGAACACAAGGAGATGCAATCCAATAGTGTAGAAGAATATAAATGTCCGGGCAAATCTGTGAATACAAACAGAACACATGCTACATTAATTTCTTGTTTCAGTCCGCTTCATTGGTCAAATACAGAAATTCAAGCAATTCATTAGTGTAGGAGAATATAAAAGTCCAGGCAAATATGTGAATACAAACAAAACACTTGATATATTTATTTTCAGTCCGCTTCATGGATAAAATCATACAATAAAGAAACTCAGGCATCATGTAATACAAAATGACAATCACTTGTGCATTCTTATCCATGAAGGGCTAGGATTAATCAATGGTGGCCAGTTTAAAAGTTTAGACATGAGCACAATGACCAAATATAAAATCTAAATAAAGATTCAGACGAAGGGTATAATTTAAGAAGTTGGAACCGAATTAACTACTCCCTCTGTAAAGAAATATAAGAGCACTATCTAAACGCTCTTATATTTCATTACGGAGGGAGTACATCTCAGTGGCAGATCCATGCACACCTGAGTCATCGGTGTTGTACTTATTTAATTCAAAAAAGACATACGACATTAGGAATGGTCAAATAAAAAACTTGGCATGTATAGCTCTGCTGTTTCTACAACAATTTAAAAGTTATCATCAAAGATAGGTGATACAACAAATACAAAGAAAAGGAAAACCTGAACTGCACACCCCACAAAAAATGATAGTATCATACTTGTTACCGAGGAGAAAACGGCCACTACTGAGAGTGATCTTATCTCTTATACCAAGTTCCTTGTATCTTTGATCCTTTTCCTGGATATGGCAAAAAAGGAACATAATTGAGCTGTGTACACTACCAGAGATAACATGTGTTGCTGATGATATGTTCAAATATATCTACCTTCCTCGAGAAAGCTGCAAAAGGATTTATGTCATCCTCGTACATTTTCTTGTACTTTGTTTCAACATCTGAAGAACCACTTTCAATATCTTCTGCGTACTGCAAGGCGCAACATAACAAAGGTCAAATGCTAGACAATGTGAAGTATGTAAAGTCCATCATAAGGATTTATGCTATACCTTCTTTGGTCCTCTAGAAACAATCTTCTCATGACTGTAGTCCTGGACGTATCGAATCTTTCCGTACAATTGAACATTATCAGCTTTTGTTTTTTCCAATTCTACAGCTAGCATTTCATACTTCTCTTTTAATCTCCTCAGTTCCTGGGATATGTAAAAATGACAATACATGGTCAGTGGTGATGCATTTTCATATTTCATGAAGCAAAGAGGCGTCATGGGATAAAAAAAATCCAAGAAAAGCCTAACAGAACCACAACTTTCAAGAATACCAAGGAAAATGACCCTCTTATATCATTACCAAACCTTGACGAAAATAGAAGCCTATAATATATACCTCTTCGGTTTCACGTAATCGTGTACGGAAACGGTCCCTCTGATTGCAGATGACCTTGAGCATGGAACTTTGATCTTGGTCTGGTGATGAATTCCTTGGATCAGTACCCTGTAAATAAATGAAAAGAAACAAGTGAAGCTACACATGGATGTAGTGACCATCTGATTAGATAACTCAAAATCAAATGCACTGTTACAAAAAAGTGAGTATTGAAATGATTCTTAGGCACATTTGGTGTTTGCCTTAACATCTAGAACTGTGGATACTGTTGATAACAACTGCATATACTGCTAAATATTAAAATCACACGCATGTTTGTAAAATCAGTGTATCAAGAGTTTTTTTCTGGGAAACTGAGGCGCTAAATATTAAAACATATAAGAAAGATTGCTTATATTAAGAGTTATTTTGTTTCGAGGAGAACAACTGTTCTACAAAGAAATGGTTAACACAGACCACTTGCTGACTAGTGGGCCACGTAGTAACATAGAATTCAGAATTAGACAGTAAATTCATCAACCGAATGTAACAGTTGTTGATTTGAAACCAGTTATGATTTGTGAAAATCATGGTGCAAAAAAGACAAGTGTTTGGTAATTCACTAACTCTTCAATGTTTCAGTGTTGTGTATTAACAGTTGTAACGGTAACATTTATGACAATTGCAGATCTTTATACTCGCTTTAAGATGATGTCTATGAGGACTTAAAGTTGATCATCTGAACTGTGTTTCCCGTGCATTTATTGTCCACGGCTGAACTATGCAGCTTCTAAGAGTAATGCAGAATTAAAGCGACATGGTTCGCCATAAGTGAAGCCAAAGTAGAATTTTACCTCCGATACTTCATTTGAGCCTATTTCTTGAAGATCCCAATCATTCAAAAGAGAACTCCTCCTATCAGTTGAACTGCAGCCCTGTAACAAAGTTAATAAACATATCAGCTACACATGTGCTTCAAAAAACAAAAGGCATAACAAATTCTTTGGTTTCTTAAGCATCGAAATCCAGGATTGTGTAGTTTATTGTAATAACATAATATCACTATTCAGACTGTAGCACTAAATAAGGTAACTGTATATGCAGAAGACATGCTCGTAAGGATTATATATTCAAATTCAAAGGACAATAGGATCTACTGGCAATATGTGAAATATCACAAGGGTAAGGAGAGCAACCTTTAATATGTCATCCTCAAGTTTCAGAATCAATTTTTGCTGCTCTTCAACCTTTGAAGTTAGTTCAGCGATCTTTCTCCCGGCTTCCTCAAGAAGACTTGACTTCTCTGATATTTTAACCTTTAAGAGATGCAAAAAGAAAAACTTACAAGACAGTTACAGCAGAGAAGATAACAAGTATGTATACATGACAAATACTGATTGTCCTCCAAAGGGCCAAACCATTTTCCAGCATATAAACTACTCCCTCCGTCCCACAATGTAAGACGTTTTTTGGCACTACACTAGTGTCAAAAAACGTCTTACATTATGGGACGGAGGGAGTAGGTACCAACCTTCAACTGTGTAAGTTCATGCTCCATTTTGCGGTTCTTATCAAGAAGCAAAGCTTCCAGTTTGCTCATTTCTTCACCATTAGTTGCTAGCTCCCAGTCTTCAGCTTCAATTGAGTTGTACCCAACAGCCTATTGGAAAAAAAAAAGGAATTTCAGCAAGCATGGGGACAGAAAATCAAAGATAGTGAGGGTAATATGGAGGAATAACAAAATGTATCTCAAGCATATCTCTGTGATCACCAACAAAATGATGTGGGCAAATTTAGTATAAGATGCAACACTGAAAATCTGATCTCATGTATCATGTGTATTTGAAACTTCACTAAAGGATAAAGAAGCAATGAGTTCAAGTTCAGATCCAGTTGATAATGGACAGTACGTCGTCAAATGTCCGAACTAAAGTAGATGGTTTAACAAAAACATGTTTATCCATAGAGCTTGTTTTGTTCCAACCTGCAAAATCTGAACCTTTTTCTTGAGATCATCAACTAGTCTAGTCGTAGGTCTTTCTTGAAGTTCTTTCTTCAACTCCGTTATCGCAGTTTCCTACAAAGAGAAAGTGTCCCTCACTTATAGCTTGGCACCCAGTAGCCAACATTAAGAGTAGTGAGTTGGTTACTGACAACTGAATTTTGACATAGCAATTTTAATGACTGGGTACCTTCTCACTGAGTAAAGCAGTCAACTTCTTTACTTCATTCACATGCATTTCTTTCTCACTTGATAAAGTACTTTCAATGTTACGCAGTTCTGCATTCAACTCTGATATAATCTTCTCCTTGGCATTCAAAGAACTCTCAAGTATATCACTTGGGTCCACGTAATCACTGCATAATTACATAATTCAGATAATAAGTTAGTATTAAGTTCTAGATAATCATAAAGGCCCAGCTAAAATAATAGCAATACTGCTGAAAGTCACTGTATCAACAGCATTATGAATGATAAAAATTATGCAAATACACACTTGCATATTCATTCATACACAGGAAAAATGCAAACAAAATTACCTATTATTACTTGTGTCTTCATTTGTTGTCTGCAACTGAGACCGTAAATCCCCCTGCAGTGAACATAAGAATAAAATCGTATGTTAGGGAAGCCAATAATAGATGTGCACATTTTGGTCAACACATGACATGTCAGTCATCAATTCAATGTATTCACCGACTGAGGATTATTTGATAATAGTCTATCACCATAACTTTCGTGCAGTAGTATGAGAGAATGTGCATAGATCTCGATTGCCATAGTGGGAGAATTGCAACCATATGAATGCAAGGGATTTTCCTAAAGCCAAAACAGCAACATGCAACATTACCTTTTCTCTCTCAAGGCTAACTAATCGTGATTGAGCGCGTTCAACTTCATCCATCAGAAGGCTCACTTCAGCTTCCTTTGCTGTCCGGTCCTCCTCTGAACAAAATATAAAACTTCATTAGAACTTCCATAATTATTGAACCATTAAGCATAGCGATCGTCAAGGTAACACAACTAAAGAAAGGAAGAAAACCTGATTGAGTACGAAGCTCAAACAATTGGCTTTGTGCCGATTCATGTAACTTCTGCATATTCTTGACACTTTCTGTAGCTTGCCTTAGTTGGTCCTGCAACGCCCGTTCCCTACAATCATGGCAATCAAAAATTCAAATCAGCGCATGCATCATCATATATGATGTGGCAAATTCTCGAAATCAAGAAGCTTAAATTTAAATTGTGATAATCGTTAAGCAATTATTTTCTTCGTTGCAATTATTTATCATACCTATCTTTCAGGGCTTCGAGAGTTTTCTGACTATCTTCTGCCAAGCTTCGCTGTTTCATTTCAACCATCTCTCTAACTTTTTCTTCCATCTAAAATCACAAAAATAAAATAAATCATTAGAAGGTAAAAGAGATATGATTCAAGAAACAGGAAGTGTGTTAAAACTATGTGGAACAAGAAATCAGCGATGTTTTTTCATCAAAGTAGTTGCTCGCTATACACAAACTTCATAAACTGGAAGGAATGTATATATTTCAGCTGTGAGTGCAATGCCACTTAGATATTTACAAAATATTTTGACTAATGGTGTTATGTCTAAAAAGCAGTATCAGTGGCTAGTGGGCCAGTATATTCGCAGACAGACCATGGTACAATTGTTTTTAGTTCAGGTGAAATTTGGAATTCATGCATCAATGTAAAAAGAAGGGCTTAAGTTTTCTATCATGAAAAGTATGAGCCTTCTGAAACTTTGCAAACAAGAACAATACGGCCATTCAAGTATGAAAATGAAAATTAAGAATACCATTGTATGGATACAGGAAGTCAATTGGATAATTTCATAAAGCACCAGTGTGAAGGAACTAACATTATTCGACTGTGAAACTGACACCATTCGTGCAGAACATCAAAACCAGAAGGAAAACTAACTAGTTTAAAAAACAGAGCGGGAAACCAAGTGACCTTGGAACAGACCTGTTGTTCTAGTTGGCGGTTTCGCTCCTCAAGTCGCCTAATCGTCGCCTGTTGGTTCTTTAGGTGCGCAGATTCCGCCCGGTATTCTTCAAGCTCAAGTTTCATCTTCCGGTTTTCAGTCTCCAGTTCAGATAGTTTCTGGTCTTGATCCTGAATGAATTGAGATCATTAGCAACAAACTTTAGTGAAATCTGACTGAATGTCATTTATTATATTCGAAGAAGATGCTAGTTATTGACATTCAAGCAAAGGAATAAGAAAAACTGAACACATCAGACTTTTGTTGGAGGAAACTGCAGTGCCATATCATGTTTTTTTTCCAAAGTTGCTAACTCTGATATGCACTAGTGTTAACACGTGACCGCTACTTTTAAGTTGGAACAAACTAACTCGCATCTATATTTGCAGATTAACAGCTTCCCACCTATAGTTTAATTTAGTGCAAGTTGACACATATTATAGCAAAAGTTCTATGTTCGGAGAGTGACGATAGAATCATACAAATAATTATCTGTTATTATCAGATATCAGTAGGTGTCAATACTGAATACCAATAAGATGGCAAGTAATTATTGCAACAAGGCAAGATATTAAGTATTGGTGGCAATTTAGAGAAGTCGGGACAGCCATGAAGGCAGTTTCCTCTATGAATACAACAAACAATGCCGAGTTAGAGAAGCTACGGTAGAGAGTAAGTTTGAAAGACATACAGACATAGAAGCAAGAGCTGGATATGGATCAGGGGCTTCATAGAGCTTCTGATAGATGTTGAGAAATGCATTTTCTCCAAACTTTGCTCTCTTTGTGAGATTGTCAACTTCCTCCTGGTAACTCTTAAGCAATGAGTTGAACAAACTAAGCTTGTCATCTGGAGATGCCTTCTTGAAGTCCCGAGTATTCTCAGCAAGTCTACGTCGGTTCTTCTGGCTCGTCTCTTGATTCTCCGCAATCTTTAAACCCTGCTCATCCAACCCACTTCTTTCTTTCTCCAAATCGAAGTCTAAATTGTACAAGAGACAACAGTCAGATTCTCCACCATGGATAGCATAAAATTTTACATGGCGAAGGCATCAACCTACATTCCACATACAATAACTAAATAAATCAATATGTTATCTACAGCACATGAGCATTCACACTTGGAAGCTATTTAGGCGTTGTAGCTTTCCAAACCCCCACATGGGAACCACGGTACCGATCACGTGGCATGACAACTCACAGCTACTCTCCCTACTTGGTATGGATGCAAATAATTCAAGGAGACAATAAAAGTTCATGACGTCTGTGATCAATCACTAACGCATTGTTCGAATGATGTAGAGTGGCTATACATGGCCTATGCACAAAAACAAGTGATATCTATTATTTGCTTTTTTCGATCAGTGCAGAAACTAAACTAGGACAACAAAAGCTTGCCAAGCTTCATAGAAATAGCGAATTTAAGTTTGAGACGAAGACTCAGGCATTCTCTACTGAAGCTACTTGGTCTCCCTGTCACGAGCATATCATACAGTTGGAGCCAATTGAGGAAGTGGCAAGCAAAAAAATGCTAGTAACAGATTTGCATGCAGGTGGAAAATGTAAGCATCTCAAGGCAATTAAGATCTCTCCAGCCGCGATTAGTGCAAAACCCCACAGATTCTGCACCTACGAGCCAGTACAGGTGCGCGCAACTGGGAATCGCGATGCTCCGCGGCAATTCAAACCAACCGTCCTTCCGGGCACACCAGTTCGAACCAAACGAAGCGAAGGTGGGGATCGACGCGGACCTTTCCAGAAGCTGCAGACGGCGGCGAGAGGCGACGCGGAGGAGGACGGGGGCGGGGGAGGGGGCGGCGGCGGCGAGCGGTCGCGCTCCGCCGCGGCCGCCTGGGCCGGCGAGGGGTCCATCGGACCAGTCGGGCGCTCCGGGATCTGGGCGCCTGGATCTGGCGGGATCCGGTGGGGTGGGGCGGGGCGGCGCGGCGACGACGCGCGGTGCGGTGCGGTGAGTATATGTGATCTGCTTTACAAGTGGTTTTCTTTTCTTCAGTACGTAAGTTGTTGGCTTTGTTGCGGCGATGGGTGCGTCTGCTCGCTCTCCTCTTCCGTCTGGTAGCCGCGTGGGAGCAAACGTTCGAGTGACGTCTGTGACAATGATATTATTTTTCTACAAGTTTTTTTCCCGTGAAAATGATCAGATCTATTATAAAAGTTCAGTGGAAGTACAAAGCATCTCAAATATAATAAAATTATATTGAGATTTCAAGATCATCGAACGGCCACTATTGCCAATAGAATGAGCCGCCGACGCGTAGCTCTCGTCGTTCCCTTATCTGAGCCAGCTTGACCTTGTCAATTACAGTTGGAAAGTCTTCATGCACGTGCCTTAAGGACCAGGACCCCGAAGCCGCGGTCATCTTTGTTGAACCCTTGCATATATCTGAAGCATCTGATAGCTAGTCTCGCTACATGACGAGAAACCCTAACATCGTCGTTCCAAGGAGATGTTAGGAGTCTATGTCGGGGCTTCATTGGCTACGTCCAGACGAACGAACTCGAGGAGGATCGGAACACGAAAGACAAACTCAAAGAAGAAGTGCCGCCGCCCGTTCAAGCGCCGCACCTGCGAGGATTAAAAAAAACCTAACCTAAATAATTGAGGCGAAGGCACAGGACTTCCTCTTCCCTCCACCGGCCGCCGGAGCGGCGGGTAGAGGGGAGGCAAATCCACAGGCTCTCTGGCGAAGTTTGGAGAGGAGAGTTTGCCCTATCCGCCTAGGGTTAGGGGAAGAAAACGAGAGGAAGCCTTGCACCTGGCAGGTTGCGAGAGCCTTTCTAGTTAGAAGTATTTTAAAAGACACGGTAAGCATTCCATCTAGGGTTTTATTTACGAAAAAATCATGAGGTACAAAGCACATCAAAAAAATAAAAATGTATTGAGGTCTCTGAACCACAGAATAAGCGTTGACGTGTCGAGACTTCTGTGCACATGTGACTGTAAGGATTGGCGCCCTAAAGTCGAAGTCGTCATCATTAAACCTTCGAATTGGTCTGAAGAACATGACACCAAATATCACCGTCGCGCACACACGACAATAAACCCCAACCTAGCCGCCCCGTGGGGCCGGCAGGAACCTATGCCAGAGCTCCGCATAATCTGTCCTGACGGATGAACTCGTGGAGGGTTGGAGCTCAAAAGACTGACTCAGAGATGAGGCATCGACATCCGTCAAGTGTCACTCTTGTTAGGACTAAAACCATATATACTAACCATAGCCAAGGCACTAAGATTTCCTCCCCACCCCGGGTCGTCGAACCGGCAAATAGAGGTGAGGCGAATCCACGATCTCACTAACAGAGATCGAGGGGAGGAAGACTATGCCCCATTCGCTTTGTGAGAGGGGAAAGAAGAGGCTAGCGATTGGTCAACATTTCCTCTAGGTCTAAAATGCCATACTTTGGAACCATAAATTAGACATTGAATATAATCGATATGGCAATGGAGAAATCATTAGCAACACATCTCTATTTATGCTCCTAAGCAATTTTGAGTTCTGGCCCGAGCCGTGGAATAAAGAACAAATAAAAGGTAGTGCAAAAACAACTACAAACTTGGGAACACGCAATAGCAAAACATGAATCTGCATCGGTTGGTTGTACTAATGGAAAGTGGGAGAAAATAAGAAAAAATTAATGGGCTTGCTTAGGACGTTTACACTAAAACTATCTTAGCGGTATCATGTGGGAAAGAAAGAAATGAAGAGAAAATAAAAACTTGACTTCTCATAGCTAAGAGTTGATCTCTTATAAGAAGATAAGACATATCTCTCATCCTGAATTGTTCGATGCCACATGACATTTACTACAAGCATATGCCTAAGTCCGAACGAAAGTTCTCTACACTCCATCACTATTGTTCATTTCCTAAGAGCAATAAAAAGTGACAAACCAGGAATGGTGACCCTCCGCCTAAAAGACCGATGTCAAATCTCAAAGAGCAAGGATGAAGTAGATGGGGAGGAGGAGGATGGGAGATCTAGAAAGTCGTACTAACTTCATAGAGGCTCGTAGGACGAAGAAATAGTAGGAGAGGCTTTGGTAGAGAGCAAAGTTTTATGCCTAGAGAGAAAAGTTTGAGATGATTTTGTCGAGGGATGAGTTGGCAGAGACAATGTGGAATTGACATTGAAGAAAGAGCACCGCTACACATGTAATAAAATCGGTACGATATTTGTACTAACACACAATATTAACCATCCATGTTAGGAGTGCGAAGTTTGTGCGGACGGGGCATTGGAGGACTTTATTTAAAATGATTCAAAAATGATATTTCTAAGTTTTAAAAAATGAAAACTTAAACATATTTGTGGTGGGTCTGTAAAATTTTGATCAAAATATTATGATTTGCAAGCCGCACAAAAAAAATCAGCCCAACAACAAAAAGAAAATGGTGGCCCATTTCCGTGTATGTATTTTTTTGTCTACGCGGCGTATGAAAGTATATTGTTATGAAACTTTTCGTGAACGTGTTATATATGTATTTGTGTATGTAGAATTTTTTATATTTTTTTGCAATTTGGAAATGCGTTTTTTTGTAAAGTCCATCAATGGCTCCGTCCTCCATTTTCACTTTTCGTCCATGTTAGCATCTTGGGCCTACAACCATCCATCTGACCATTGTATGTAAATAGGACACAAAGCATAGTACATGAAGTAATCCCGTTCAAGAAACAGGCTGACTTTATGGTGCGTATGGTTCATTCAAGGAGATGAAGTAGACGCGAGAGATGATGGTATGATCCAAATGGGATGGATGACAGAAGAATCACTTTTGGGAAATTAGAAGGACCGTGATATTGGCTTCCCAGAATCACACGGATTCTCCCACGGGTTCGGGGTAGCGCACATTTCATCTGGCAAGAGTGTGCCTATTGCGCTTGGCCTGGCATTTGTGTCACAAGGGGAAATATGTTTCCTTAGTGTTCCAAAATACTATCTTTTATTGAATTTTGCATTTTAAATTTGAGCCACTAAATTGAAACAAAGTTGAGTTGTGTAACAGTAGAAACAGAAAGGGGATTTATATGCCAAAAGTAAAAACACGACAGGATATCAAACATATATTTCATAATTGAACTAAGGGAATAAAATGATGCTGATTTAATTTCATGTCAAAATGATCAAACTTTTTGAATTAGAAGAATCCTAGAAGTCAATTATTTTGAGAGGGAAGTAGACAAGAAAAACTCAGTTGTTGCTTCATAAGAAAGGCAAGCTTTGGGGGTGCTTGACGCCAAGTATGATCAATCATCAACAAGCCATGAAAATTGCTAATACAGCAATACTAATAATGTGCTGCAATACAGGAAATAGTTTGAAATCTGCTAATGAACTAAGAAGCGACGATGTCCACATGACCGTCCTCATGACTGTAGTCCACTAGGTACTTCAGCTCGACACGCTTCGCATAGCACCATCCTACCACATCTTATGATTCACATAGTGCAACCGACCCTAGTACATCTTATGATCCGAATGATACAGGTAGCTGCGTAAATGGACTCAGAAATAAACTTGGGCACGCTCGAGGGCCAATCAGTGCCCCTCTCCCTCAGGCTTTGAGGCGGCTTCCTTGATCTCATCACCACCCTCCTCCTGGAAAAGTTTAGCACGACTATGAGTAACAAGGTTTTCAACACCACCCATGTGACAAGCCAATACAGGTAGAAGTTTCGATGGGGAGACATACTGCGTTATCGGAGGTCCAGAGAGTCAAGTTGTCACGAAGAAGTTGCATGATCAAGGTGCTGTCCTTGTAGGATTCCTCGCCGAGGGAGTCCAGCTCAGCAATAGCTTCATCAAATGCCTACCAACAAGTAAACATTCCAGAATTAATCGCATTCTAGATATATGACAGATGTAGACTGAGACCCTTTTTCCTCAATGTCAAGTAATGGTTCAAACTATACTTTCAATAGCATGAGTCGTTTCAACTGGTTGGCATAGTTAACAAGGATTGTTGTTCATCATTCATAAAAAACTTTAAACTGATATAGTACCATAAAGTAAAGCATAAGAAATGCTGAAACAACAATTTCACCAGAGATCAGAATTGTACTGTATATAGCTTCCATGACAAATGGGACTCAGGTGTAGCTCCCATCAAATAAAAGAATTAACAAGCAGGGCTCCACACAGAAGAACTCTTCAACAAAAGATGTGATGTATAAAACAGAAGACTAACCTGCTTGGCAAGGTTGCAAGCACGGTCTGGAGAGTTCAGGATCTCATAGTAGAACACTGAGAAGTTGAGTGCAAGTCCAAGCCTTATCGGGTGGGTGGTAGGCAAGTCAGCAAGCGCGATGTCCTACATAATAATAAGTAAATTAATGTCAGCATGCACACTCGATGAAACAATATACACAATCAAAAGAATAGCCTGCACAGTATATCCCAACCAGGAATGACAGAACATGTATTCAACTTTGTAAGAGAAAGATGATGATAAAGCAAACTGGTACATGATACTGTATGTTTCAAATTAGCAAACAGTCCATGAAAGCTTAACCTGGGCTGACTTGTATGCTACAAGAGTGTTCTCAGCTGCTTCTTTCCTCTCAGCGCCTGCCTTGAACTCCGCAAGGTACCTATGGATTCACAATGAGGGAGTAGAAAGTAAATTGGTGTACATCCAAGCATCCAACAACTATGGACTGGCATAATTCTCTGTATGCAGCAAGTAAATACCTGTGGTAGTCACCCTTCATTTTCAGATAGAACACCTTGGACTCTGCTGCAGTGGCAGAGGGGACAAGGTGGGAGTCCAGAAGCTTGAGGATGCCATCACAGATCTTGCTGAGCTCAGTTTCAATCCTGGTACGGTACTCCTTGATTGAAGCAACATAGGC